GACTTGGATTATGAGCTGGAATGAAACAGCCCTCAAGCTTTAACCACCACACAAGAAATGTGTAGGTCCATGGTAAAGCCAACAAGAGCTCCCAAAATTTGCATCAGTGACATTTAAACTTCAGAGTAAAAGGTTTCTCTAAAGGAACAGAACCTCACATCTCTCTGTGCTACTATTTCTCTTCTGCAGACTAAAGAAATATCTAAAAAGCATAAGAACTTACTATGAAACCAGGCACAAGCTTGCACACAACTCCTGTCCTCTCCTCCTGCAGACAGCCTTGGGTGAACTTAACCTCACCTTCATTAGCTGCATCTCCTCCTACACCTGACACTAAACTGGAGGAAAAATAGCCTCCTCCCTCAGTGCCCTCCCAATCCATACATCTTCTGCTGCTTGGAAACTATTCTTGCCTCAGGCCATGCAAATCACAAGATTATCTGGGACTGCATTCCTCAAGTCTGACCAGGAAGAGGTGGTGATAGCTCAACCCCCATCATGGAAAAGCATCACAAATCCAAATCCCTCCCTCCCAGTTTAGAAATCTATCCCAGTTTTCCCTGGGAATGCCCTGGGTAATGCCAGTTGTTTGGTTCCAGAGTTAGTGGCCTAGCAAGATGAACATGAGCACTCCTCTAAGAAACACAACTTTCGATAATTTGCAGGCTCAGGAAAAGAAGCAACATTTGAGATCAGGTTTAGAAGGTCTCTTTCACCACCCAAGGGCCTGGAAACTTGCTTTTTAGATTTGGTTGAAAACTGAAGTGCTGCAGAAATTGATGGGTCAGCCACAGACAGCCTGGTCCCATGTCCTACCATGTGCTTGCTTTACCCTGCCTGGTGCCAAGAAGAGACAAGGAAGAAAAAGAAGCGTAGAAGAACATTAACAAAAAAAAGCCATTTTATTGAAAATGAAATTAAAACTTCAAATTAATATTACAATCATGAGAAAATGCCAAACAATTCAATTTACAGTTGCAACATACAATACAAATAGTCCCTTTGAAGTTGAAGTAAACTGATCCACAATCATCGTCTGTGGCATAAAGCAGAGTGTTTGTACAATATGTGCATGAAAAGCAAATCTTGGGTGACAGCATTTGAAAAAATAAAAAATTAAAGCTTGTATTTACACAAAATGCTACAAATATTTTGTTCCAGCGGAAATTCAAGATTGGTAAAGCATATTTAACAACAAAAAAAACTGGAATGTCACTCATATTACCTAAAGTTACTGTAAAAGTATGGTTTTGGCTGATATACTTAAAAGTACTGCATTAAAAAAAAAGCAAAGAGTTATCTGTAAACATGGAAGTAAACAAACATCTAAAAAAAGTTCTCAGAAAATGTTAAACTGAAATGCATTCTATTTAAAAACAACAAGAAATTCAGGGGGGCAGAGAATGGGACTTCTTTGAGCTCATGGCTGATCCAGGTTTAATTATTGCTTTTGCTCATGGCTTGCTGCTGCTGCAGCCCAGTGCAGGGCTGAGCCTTGCTTTGCTCAGGGTGAAAGTGCAAAAATTCTCCCCACTCCAGATGGTACCTGTGGAAACTGGTAAATCTTTGCTCAGGGGACTGCTGGCAACAAAGGTTCAATGCTAAGAAAGACGCAGCAGCTGGGCTTTTAAAGGAAACTATAAATGCCACATGAATGATGCTGTTGGATAAATAATTTGCTTTACTCTTCTGTCCTGACCCACTGCACCTGATCTGGTTACCCTTAGAAGGAGGGAGAGGAGGATTTAATCCTTTGTTTGGCAAAAGGGACATGGTGCCCATTGTGCTGCAAGTAAGTCTTTGGTAGGATAAGAAGCTGGAAGGTAAAAAAAAGGCAATTTTTTTCTTTAAATCTATGACCGGTGCCAAAGATTGCCACTGCCCGAAGCGAAGGGCTGTCGTACCTTTGAGGAAACTCCATTCTGCGATGCCAAGCACCTCACAAAAGCTCAGATAAATTGATAAGATTCACTACATAGCACCGGTTGGGTCTGAAAATTTGATTCAAGAGCATTTCCAAGTGAACTTGAAAGCATTTTCTGAAAGCTCTGATGAGCATCTCTGCCTCAGCCTGTATGACTCCCTCCATGACCAGCCTGATGTACTGGGACAGATTTTCCAAAGGCACCAGGAGGGTTCAGGGGCATGGGGATCTGCTGAAAGTCAAGGGGCTGGTGCTCCTCTGTCCACAGGTTCTTAGAAAATCCTTTCCTTCCTATCTCAAGCAGGCAGAGCCAGGTCAGACAAGGGCACTGATCTACTTGATCAGGCACACGTGCCTTGACTGGGCGGAGAAAACGTTTTCAACGTTTGCCCCTAAAGGTCCAGTTGAAAAACCGCGGGGACACAAACAGAGTCCTGTCGGTATTGGGCAAAACAAAAGTCTGGTCTGTGCTGGATTTATCCAGAAACAAAAACCAAGTGCTTGAATTTTACAACAAAGTCTTAAGGAAAAAAAGAAAAGAAAATCTGGGTTGCTGCCTGCAGCCACTCTTAACAACATTTCGACACAAAAGCACCCTAAAAATTACTTAATATGCATACAGTAAACCTTAAAAAGCCCTTCTCAGCAATAACAAATAATGTACAAATATAGTACCTTTTATTAAATAGGAAACAGCTTGCACTGGCAGTACATCTCTTTTTCTCTTGCTTATTAAACAAAAAACAAAACTGAAATGTGTAACCAGACACTGGTTTCTTAAGTGCTGCTGAGACTAACAAACGTTACTTTACAGTTACAAATAAATGGACAGTGGTATGCTTCAAGCTACCACAAACCAACAATAAATAGAATCAATTACAGCTTCCATCTTTGAAGGAAAACTAAGTATTAGAAGAAAAACAAAGTGTCTTACTTATACTTTAAGCATACTTGGTATACAACCTTTAGAAGGCAAAGAATTTATTAATTTATTATTTTTAAGAGCACGTCATCACGCAGACTGGAGGGCTGTACCATGCTAACGGCAGCTCGTTTAACAGCTTCGCTGCTAACGAGCAGTGAGGGTGGTGTCCGGCTCTGTGTGGCTGTGCCCAACGTTGATTCACTGCCAAACTTTGGAGGTAGCCAAAGATCACCCAAGGAGCAGCTTGGAGGAGGCTGCGGGCAGCGCTGACTGTGGCAGTGGAAGGAGGGAGCTTTGGCCAAGCCCACTGGCACGTGCTGAACATCCCTCTAAGCCAGGCTTAACACCTGCCCAGGGAGAGCGTGGGGAGGATGACTCAGATCCCACCACGTCCAGCCCATGCCATGTCACCTCCCTGCATGCCATGGCAGCCCTGGGCTGGGCAAAACTGGGGCTTCTCTGCGGGATAGTTTGGCCACAGTCAGGTTGGGGTTTGGGTGCAACCTGCTCTGCTTGTACCATCCCTGGGAGCCCCAGGGTGGCTTTCAAGGAGAGTTTGTGTCTTCTGTGTGGGCAGAGGTGAGTTTTGCTGCCCTTGTGCTCATCCCTCTAACAGGCAACAGCCACATCAGCTTCAGAGCCACCACAGCATCTGCACGGCTCCCGCATTTAATGCTAACGGGTGGTGACTCGCTACCAGGCAGTTTCTGTCTCAAGTTTGAAACCTTTTAATTTCCACCGAGTGGGCTGAAATTGCAAGGGGAGGGGAAAATGTTTCACCATTTCTCCCTTAATCCCACTTCTGAGATATTTAACAATTCATCATTTGCAAAATACGGGCTTTGAAACAGTTTTGATTTTTCTTTGGGAAAAAAAAAAACCCTGTCGAAATCCAAATTATGCTGTCAAAATAGACCATTTTAAATATGAATCTTTTCAAATTTTGAAGTTCTGAGAAAAAATCCTTGGAGAAGAAGAAATTAGGGGAAGGGTGGAAAATATTTCATCCTTCCTACCATTTTTCCAGTGTCTCCACAACTACTGATTAAAAGGCAAGACTGTGTTGAAGGCAACCAGACAGCTAATAAAAATATTTTAAACACAATATTTCCTTCATAAGTTATATAAAAAGATCCTACATCCAAAATCATTTGATGTGGATGCATTTAGGTTGGGTTTGTTGTTTTTAAGTCACATTGTAAACTGGTTCACACTGGAACTGCTTTTCAGAGTTGGGTAAAGGTCTGAGGTTTACACTATTGCAGAAATGTAATAAAAAAAAAAAAACTAAACAAAACAAAAAACACTTTTAGAGACCGAAGTCAATATATCATTACATTAAGAAACGTTTAAAGGGTCCAAATGTCATTAAATAATTATAAATATTCTTTTAAACTTAAATGATGATTCATGTTAGCAAACAACCTCAAATTTTACACATTTATAATTTAAAAAAAATAAAAAAAGAACATAGCCGAACACAAATACTATGTATACCATTTTGGCTCTAGAAATATATATTGCCATTCTCATATTTTGCATAAGTAATAACATTTTGTTTTTTTGTTTTTCAAGGTTTTGGTTATTATTTTTGGTTTTTTGGCTAATCGAAGGCAAAACGAACGGATACAAAAGCAAAAAGGAAACCCCGGGGTTGGCTCACCTAACTTGAAAACTCATTCTCTTTAAGTACCCAAAAACAAACCAAGAAAGCAATGAACACAGAAATTCCAACTGTTATCCGCAGCAAGGCTCGGACAGAGTTTTTTGGGACAGCTGTTTTCGTCTGAATGGATCATAGCAAAATGGAAGCAACTTGCTCTTTGCTTTCCTTTTTATGTGCACCAATACAAACCAGGTGAATTGCACTACAGGTGTGGAGAGGGTCCCATACGTTGTATGATTGCAACTGTATCTGGAGTTCATGGTTAGTTTTGGTTTTTTTTATTAAAATAAAAGGGAATGCAGCCTTTGCCTTGCATCACCATGTTTCTCCTGATAGCCGGGGAGTCCATTCTCTCCTTGTTGGCAAAAGTACTCACTAGTTATTACAAAACTCTAGGGGGAAAAAATAGAAGGAAAAAATTCAAGAAAAAAAAAAAAAAGGACAGGGTGATTTTGTGTGTGTGTGTGTAGAAAGTACATCTTAAATATAAAACAAGGTAAAATGCTTCCAAGAGGGGGAAAAAATAAAATATGTGCTTTGATTCACATAATCTGAAACATGGGTTGTGGTATGTTGGTAACTCTTGTGTTATTTATGGCCATTATCATCCCATCTACACAGTTGCACATATTGGTAAAATCTGGGTTTTTAAAAAAAAAAAAAAAAAAAGAAACAAAAAACAGGCACTTTGTAGTTAGTCGACCGTTTGGTGGTTTGGTGGATTTTTTTTTTTTTTTGGCTTCCAGAGGTCGGGCCGGCTACGGAAGAAATCTCAGTACGGCCTCCAAACGGACTCATCCATCCTGCCACTAGAATTCAAGACGGTTGGGGAGCTGCTGTGGCTGCCATCCGCCTCCACCCCGTCACTCTGGGTGGGCAAGTTAGGGTTTAGCAGTGTGCTGCCGTTGGACGTGGTGGTGCACGGCGGGAGCATCCTGGAGGGGGAGCGGTCCCCTCCCGGCACCATGGGGAACTGGTATGATCCTGACGAAGTGCCATAGTAGAGATATGGAGTGCTGCTGGTCTGGAAAGGTCCACTTTGGTTTTGGGAAGAGCCGGGGTAGGGTGGTGGTAGGTAGGTGTGGTAGTGAGTGGTTGCGGACATACCCAGTGACATGCCTGAGGTGACTGGCGGTGTATAGGTAAAGGTGGCTGGATAGTGCATTCGTGGGTTGGAGAAGCGGCTCTCAGTGAGGGATGAAATGCTTGTGAACTGCCTGGGATCTGAAAATGGGCCCAGCTCTGAAGCACCTAAAAAATTATAACAAAAGACGGGGGAAAACAATTCTGTAAATACCATTTTTTGTATCACGTGATGATAGAATTTTATTTTTCTAAGATAACCCACTTCTTTTGGCCCCCAAGAGAACAGCAGATCATATCAAGCAACACATTGCAAGGAACAGAGTCATACATCTGTCTTCTAGAAGCGCTGGGCCAAACTCATCCCTGGTCTAACTCCACTGATGCCAATGGAGGGAGCAGCATTGCCAACCTGAAGTGCTCAAAGGTCATGGGTCAGGTTGGAGTAAAAAAAAAATCTCAAAAATCAAGAAATTGAAAAATAGACAAAAAAGAAAGGGGACAAAAATTTTCAAAAATCTAGAGATTAAAAAAAGAGCCAAAAAAGAAAGGTGGACTTGGAGTTGATTTGCCTTTTGGTTTCAGAGTTTTGAGGGTCATATGTCTCTGTTTTTTTGCTCGAGCCTCTTGAAAAACTCAGGTCTGGTTGCACACAAAAGCTGAGATTCCCACCTCAGCACAGGCTGTCAGGAGCTGGGGTTTCCAGAAAAGCAGAAATCACTTTGTAACTTGTAGTAAAGCTACAAGAGCTGGCAAAACCAAGTTAACTGCACCACTGACACCAGGAGAGTTACACTGGGGGTGACTAAGACCCACTTCTTGCCTTAAATCAATTTATTTAGGTGAGAATCCGCTCAGCTGCTTCCTTTGGCTAAAAAACAGTTTGCTTCATCCGGAGGATGGACAAGGCCATTAAGCTGATAGAAAAAAATGCAGATTTTACTCTTCAGAGAAGTTGATGGAAAATTACAAGCCCAACACTCTTTTTGCCATTGAAAAAAAATTTGTTTTCGTATGTAGTCTCTGCAGTCTGGTTGAAAAAAAAAAAAGACCACACAGTTTATGACTACTGTGAACGTCTGGATGGTAACGCTGTGAATTGGAGTCTAACGCAAAACAGGGATGGGTAAACTCATTTTGCCTAATTTCTAATCCCACATCAAACACCCAAAACTTTGGAGCAGAACTGGAAAGCAAACGTTAGCTTGGTGATGTGCTTAGGAGATTGTGGGATGGACAGGAGAAGAAGACAAAGATGGTGAAAGCTTGTACTGAGAGCCAGAAGAGTGGAAAACAAAGAGGGTGTGGGAAAAGGACAGGGGTATAGAGGGAAAGCCTAATGAGGAAGTACAGAGCAGGAGGAGGCAAATGCAGTGGGCCAGTATGCAGCAGACACATATATTTATAGAGAGCTGAAAGAGCAGGGTGTAAATAAAGGGGGAAAATTATGAAATCAAATGGACCCTCCCTGCACTTCCTGCTGATACTACTACAGCTTTACAGCCCTCCAGATACAAGGGTTCACTCACCTCTTTGTCAATCTACCGAACCTGACTTAACTAAAAGGAAAATATGGCATCTTCTACATGCCACTGAAATGCTCTGTGTAGCCTCAGTTTAAGATGAAACAATGATTTTCCTTGCAGACAGGCTTCAGATCTGCCCTGATGACACTGCTTTATAAAAGAAAGATCTCTCCAGCCCTTCTGTTCCTGGTCCACTCTGCTGTAAGCAACAGACTCCACAGTCTCTGCCACCTTGTGTGGCACATTTTGGAATTTAGATTACTATTCACAGCTCAGTGAACCCACGCCTACAAAGATATCTAAAAGCAGCAGTGGGGCACAGCTCAGACGCAGTTTGGGTTCAGGCTGGAGGACCTGGCCCACAGCCAGCCAAACCTCCAAATCAGCCTGAAACCTGGGGATTATAATCCTCTATCTCTAACAGTGTTGAGCACAAAGCTATAAATGGGCAGTAAAAACCCATTCCAAACTCTGATGACAATGCGATTACTATTATCTTTATCTGGGACTGGATCAGTGACCTGTGGGTGAATGGGTCTGTCTCCATCATCAACCCCTCCAACCACAGCGCCCTGGAATGTAATATAACTTGTACCTTTACAGCAAACACTCTACTACTTGATGCAACTTCTTTCGTTCCCAACTGCAAACAATAGCCAGAGGCAATACCACCCAGATTCAAAGCTGTAATTTTGGAACACTATCCTTTATATTGTGAACAGGTCTGATACATATCTGGAAATATAAGGTTAGAACATAATTTCCCCAGCTGCTCAAAATACTGAGTTTCAATCTGCTACTGCTTATTGTCTTTTCTTTTTTTTTATTTATTGTTATTGCAACTCTCCCATCATGAACAGAGTTGCTGTTCATTTACCCTGATAGAAGCTAAACAAGGTTTTTACAATCAAAAGTGGAATTGGTGTGAGTCTAAGGGTATAGAAGAACATTGGTATTTTTGGTTTCTTTGCAACTAATACTCTTTTTTTTTTTTCTTAATACAAAGGTCTCCACACAGTTTTACACATTAAAAGGCAATCTACCTTTCAGAGCTAGATCCAAATATTATCTGCATGGTGCTGCCAAGAGATTGTGTCAGTGTGGAATGACTGGGAATGTGCACACCACACGTAGGCATTTCAAATGTGGGGCTGCAGACCTCCTTATGTACCCTGGTAAATCCACACTTGTTTGTTTTTACTGTTGCTTGTAAAGCACAATTGTATTTACCCAAAGGCCAAACAACCATAACCTTGTCTTATCTCACTCATGGCTGTTTCTGCACAGCTCCTGCATACTCACTTCTTCAACTCCCCTTTTGCTCAAGTGCCCTTTGCTGTCTCCATAACTCCCTGCACAGGGCTGTAATTTGTTCCCAGCCTTATTGTATCTCCACTATGTAAAGTCATTTTTAAAGATCAGAAAAAGTTCTCTGTTCTAAAGTCTCATTTCTAAGGGAAACTTACAAAAAAATCAGCTCTAAACCTGAGCTTCTTGCCACTCTCACTGCTGTTCAATCTTGCTGATTCCTTTTCACTCTCCTCCTCCTCCTTTTGCTGTGCTACCTCCTTGTGTCAAGGTTGATTTTGGTTTGAACTTGGAAACCCCAGACTCCTGTTCAATTATACTTGTTAGGCTCTTTGCTGGGCTGGGAAGAGAAATATCTCTACTGGGTATGGCACCCATCTTTGTATATCTAGCTGTGCACAAACAGTGATGTGGATCAGCAATATAGTAACATGACAGTGCAAGTATATAATTCATAATATAATAACTATAATATTATAATAATTTATTTATTCCTCTCCCCAGGAGGATTAAAGCTTTATGCTAATTTTTCCTCCTTCAGATCAAGAAAACCATTTGCATCTGTGAGTTCCCACTCTCGTGATAGCTTGCACTAAATGGGTAAAGCACAGACCCTCTGCTCTACATTATGGGCACCACATTGCAAAACAATGCTTGTATAAAGAGAAGAGACTTTATTTTGTGCCACCAGAAAGAGACACACGTTGAAGAGCACAGCAAGTGATCTTCTCCTATACAGTCTCATCAGCTGACTGGGCTTAACAATAATTTAAAAAAAATTAGAAAAAAGTGTATTTTTGAAAAAAAACCAAAAAACTTTAAATCTGAATGAGTCCTGGTTAAACTATTTTTAAATTTTCCAGCCTGATTCCTTCATAACATAGCCTGGCATTCCAGTTTTCTGAGAGCTAAATGTTTAGAGCAGAAAAGTGGTCATGATAATATGCCAATATATATGCTAACATCCCAGATTCAAGAATACTGCTTCAGTGTGTTTCATATTTAGAATAAGAACAATTAAAATTCCATGTGGCTTCACTTATTTTGATGCAGAAGCCTCATTAAAAACTAGACCTGGGCATTTGCCAGCAGCCAGCTCAAATTGTTTTGCATTCGCGCTTAAAACCCAATTTTACCTGTTGCAGCTTTGCAGCTCCACCATTCACAGCTGCATGTTTGCCAAGGTAATTTCTCTTTTGCAGTTTACAGATGCGAGCTAGTGCCAATTAATGCTCAAGTCTCAGTTAATAAGCTGCACTTGTGGTTTGCAGAAAATCAGGCAACAAATTTCTGTCAGGTTTACAGCACTTTGGTCAATCATTCCCAATTATTAAAGATCATAATGCGTTGTGGACAGATTAACTCCTTGTAGGTACAACCAGCTGACATCTACTTTAAAGACTTACAGGATATTTTTATAGCTTAAAAATATTACAATTTGTTTTGTTATTTAATGCTATAAATGATCACTAACAAGAAGAAAATTCCCTTGGGTTATTGCATATGTTTCATAGGGAAATTCCTAGTCCATCAAGTCAATGCAGAATCTTTCGATGCATGAAACCAGAGTAATTCTGTATTCACTGAACAGTCTGTCTTGAGGAAATTCAGCAACATATAGTTAAATTTATTTACCAGTAGCTAAATGATTCCCTTGTGTTCCAGGGAACTTCAGTGTTAAGACATTTGCTGAAGTCGAAACTAGGGTTTGTCGGGCTTTGTTCAACAGTTCAATTCAGGCTGGGACATTGTACTAATTGACCTATTAAAATAGTTTTTTCCTTCCCCAACATCTACGTCTCTGAATTATAAGCACAGCCTGGATTACTTACAGCTGATAATATCGCCTTGGATGAAACACGCCACACACTTCACATGATGAGACGATTTCTGTCTCTTACAGCTTTGCCAAACTTTAAATGTTCTGGCTGAAATTGTCCATGCTGGGTGTCTGTCTCAGGCTAAATTTTGATTTATGCATTTATTTGTTTTTAAAATTTCAGCTGAAACTCTTCTGCTGGGAAAAATACATTGTTTTACCAATCTTAAACTCTGAGGAGCCTTCCTTTGAAAAGCTGTACCAGTTCCATGCTTTGAAGTAAGGACTTGAACTTTGGAATAGGAGTGGCTTTTGTGTGAGAGATGTTGCCATGAAAATCCAGCCAAATATGAACAAATCATAAGCACTCTGACTAAAAATGGGCAGAAAAGTCTGTGTCCCTATAAAGACACTTGTCTAGAGACTGGAATGAAATCCAGGAGTCACAAGTCCTAGCATTTTTTCTGCAAACATTGCTGAAACACAGGGACATTACCACCTGTCCCCATGCCAGC